ATTATCAATTTTCAAAACCACCGATTCATCCAAACTTTCGCCCGCACCTAACCTCGACAAAATATTAGGTAACTGGTTCTCTACCCCTTCGATATTTTAAATCCAAATCAAAACTTCCTACTAACAATAACCATCGCTGAAGTCATGGCGATAACATCAACTCTTTGTTATCTTTTTTAAATAAATGTATCAAGGGCTTATGATCTGTAAAAACAACAAACTTCCTACCTATAAGGTATTCGCGACATTTTGTTAACCCAAGAATCACAGCCAGAGCCTCCTGTTCTATCACTGAATATCGTTTTTCTACCTCTCGAAACACTCTCGAGAAAAATAAAACATGTCTTTCTATTCCATCTATCAAATGCAACATTGCCCCACCTACTCCTCTATTACATGCATCTACAGCCAAAACTACTTCCAAATCACTATTAAAACACACAAGAATGGGCTCTTTCCCAATTTTCTCTTTTAACATTCTGAACGCAATCTCTTGTCCCTCTTTCCATTCAAAATGTACCCCTTTCCTTAATAATTCATATAAAGGAGCAACTACTTCCGCAAAACTCGATATAAACCGATGATAATAATTTACCATTTCCATAAACGACTGCACCTCTACTTTACTGGTCAGCCTATTCAAATTCGCAACACTCAACAAATTTTTATCTAACGGTTTAACCTCCATTCCATTAATTTTATGACCCAAATATGTCACTTCAGTTACTCCCAACACACTCTTTTCACGACTCGCCTTTAATCCTTTATTTTGAATTCTAATAAATACTTCTTCTAGCCTATCATTATGTTGTTTCATCGTTATTCCTACAACCAAAACATCATCCATATAATAAAAAACACCCTCTAAACCTTGGAAAACAACAGCCATTGTTCGCTGAAAAATAGGGGCTGATACACTTAACCCAAATGGTAATTGACAAAACGTAAACAATCTCTTGAATGTCGTAATCGTCAACAACTTCCTAGTCGTTTTTGCCATTGGTAATTGCAAATATGCACACGAAAAATCAATCTTGGAAAAATATTTTCCCCCTTTCAAACTGGCCAAAATTTCTTCTATTCGCGGTAACGGGTATTTCACCTCTACAACCCAAGGATTCGACGTCACTCTAAAATCGGCACATAACCTCAATTTTCCATTAGCCTTTCTCACAGGAACCAACAGTTGCCCGTTCACTATAACCAATAGGACAAATAATTCCATCTTTCACCCAGTTATCCAACTCTTTTTCCATTTCCGCCCTCTATTCAAATGGAACTTTTCGCACCGGACAATATTGCGGTACAAAACCTTCCTTTAAACGGAGATCAACTTCATAATCCACTAAACACCCAATTTCTCCTCAAAGATTTCACTATAACTATTCATTAAAACTGCCACTGCAATCCTCCAATTTTCCAAACTCGACAATTGTTCCTTTCCTTCCCCTCATTAATCTCTTTTTCCTTCATGTTCTTACAAATTTCACCGGGAAATTTTGGACACTGGTATATCTTTCCTTTCATTATTCAGTTCCTTACACATTTATTGACTAATAATTTTCTCCTCTATTTCTTCTGTTTTAGTGACTATTTTTATTTCATCATTATTTCTCTCATTAACACATTTTCTACAAGGTATTTATTTTTTAACTCTCTAGGCTTGTCATTTTCATAATATTAACACTTTGCGACAACTCAGTATATCTTACCTTTCTTTTTTTTAACTGGAACTATTCGCGTTTGAGACATATTATTTTTTACAAACTCACCTTCCAGATTACCCATCATCTTTTATATCACAGAATTCTTGATTTTTCCTTTCAACATTTTGAATTTCAACCATTTCCTCTCGTTTAATTTCCTTGGAAAAAATACCCCAAAAATTATTTAATGGACCAATCTTAACAATCCATTCCCACCCCATAATCGTCTCCACTTTTTTATCAACAATCCACAAATTTAAATAATTAATTATACCATTTATAACAAACGGTCCTTCAATTTTTCCTAAAACCCTTATTTCCGATCCATCAAACTGTTTAACTATCATCTCTTCTTCAATTATATCCACTTCTGGCCAATATTCACAATAATTTTCATAACTTATAATGGATATCGCAGCACCTGTATCCAACAGCATAGATATTTCTCTACCTACAACTATTCCTAATCCTTCTCACTTTTGCCCTCTAATTTTAAAATAGGAATTCTATAATTTTTCATATTTTCACCATTTACCAAATTTATATTTCTCTTCTCTGCTAAATTTCTTTTAAATTCAACCTCTCCACCGACCCGAAATTTCATGTCAGTCTTTAATGTAATAACTTCCATTTTACTATTTTCACTATCATTTAGTTACCTCTCCGGACATTCTATAGCCCGATGTCCTTCCTTCCTGCATTTAAAACACATACTTTCATCTTTACCTTCTTTCAAAATATCATTATTTTGTATCATTCTTACATTAGATGCTGGTGCTAAGTATTTCACTGCCGGAAATGCTTCCCCATTTATCGGTTCTCTTACATAACAATTTTCATTAGCATTTCCCATCTTTCCACATCTTCACATTGAAATGTTGTTTTATTATTTCCATTAATACGATACGTCGGAATATAACATTTTTTACTACTATGCCCTACTCCTCCACAACTATTACATTTAATCGGTTGCTTGTTAAACATTGTACCATTCTGAACACAATTTCTACTTATATGCCCCAATTCCCTACATGAATAACATCTTACATTTTATATATTAATTTTTGGACGATTAATCTGTTTAGAAAAAAATTCTCTTTTTCCCAACTTTCCTTTTCATTTCTCTGCACGGTCAATGGCGTATTATACTCTTTAAAATGATCGTATTCCTTATTATTCATTCGATTCTCTCTTCTGAAATCCTTTTCATACATTCTCCTATAATTTTCTCCATGACTATCATTATTTCGTTTCTCACCTCTTATTCCATGTTCATCTTTAATCTCTATTTCTTTTTTAATATTAATATCTTTTCGTTCATCTCTTCTTATAATATTAATATTTTTCCTCATTCCTTCTATGATATTTTCATTTAGAATTTTCCATATTTCATCTTTTAAATTTAACATTTCTTCCGTCATTCTTTCATTTTCATTAACGTTTTTTGATTCTCTTCCATTTTTTCCTTTTTCAATTCCATTATTTTTAATTTCAATTTCTTCCGTGATTTTTATTCTATCTCTTTCTATAACTCTTTTCATTTTCTCCGATGTAATACAATACCAATTATCCATAAACATACCAATACTATAGCTACAATACAATTATTTCTCTGTGGAACCATTTCCACATAATTTTGTGTTTTTATACTTCTTTTAGAATTAAACATTTATTATTAAAAATTATTATAATAAATTTTATTTTGCCTTTAATTTTAAGAATTTTATTTATTTTTAATAGTTTTCTTCTTCTTACTGTTGCATTGTGTCCCAGTTTATGTTCAAGGATAAGGCACCAATTTTTGCAAAATTAATTTAGTAGACTTAAATTCTGTACCTTAAATTCCGTACCCTAAAAGAAATTGAAAGACGCAAAAAAAAACTTCTTCAAGAATCCTTTTATTTCAATTATATATCTCCACAAGAATAATAAAAATATATAATTTTTTCCGAGAAGACAAAAACTATAATTTTTCCGCGAAAAGGAAAGGAAAAAAAAATCTATTTTAAATAAAAAAAATCAATCTTTGCGAAAAAATAACTAAAAATCAGTATATTCAAAAATAATTGATCTAGTTTTCCTCTTTTTCATATAAAAATAAATTACATCCTTGACATTATCTCTTTTTCATATAAAAATGCAATATAACCTTGACATTATTGCAATAATAATCAATTAACATAATATTACAACACTAACAATTACATATTAAAGAGCATGTCAGTTTTTCTTAATTTTTAGTTTTCCTTCTTATTTTATTTCAAGATTTTTGCGATCTCTTTAAGTCATTTTTAATTTGTTTTCCTTATCTTTCAACTTTCCTTCTCATTTTTTATCATTCTTTTTTGTCATTTTAAAAATTATTTATTTATTTTCCCTGTCATGTTTCTTCCTTCTCTATTTTTGTGTCTAACAACTCTTTTTCCTTTTTTTCTTACTACATAACAATTTTTTGACTTTTTATGATTTTTTTCACCTGATATTTTAATATTAAAATTTCATTTAAATTTTATTTCTCTTTGGCAATCAAATTTTTTTTATTAATATTTTTTGCAAATTATTTCATTATACTTACGACATACAAAATATATAATTAAATGATTGTAAATAAGTTAGATTAATAATAAAGCATTCCCAAAATATCATTAAGCCATCACACGTTTCCACTCTAAACACTTTCTACCAGAATTATTTGATTTCTCTTCAGAGATTTGATCTAAGAATTGTGATTCTTATTTTTAAAATTTATATAAATAAAATATAAAAAAATTGTCATTTTGTCATCCATTGCATAAAATAAAATTTGCCTAGTTATTTTTGTAATGAAATCTACTCGGATATGTTAATAAATGCTTTAATTCAAATATTATAATATCTTTAATATAAAATAACGTAAAATATAATTATATCCAAATGTATCTAAAAATAGATATAGATCTAAAATAGTATCTATATTCCGTTACATTTTATAAAAGTGTATCTAGTTACAACTAATCCCCACATTTTATATCTATATAATTTTATATAGATACTTTAACAACTGTTATTTTTAGATAAGACTTTTTTATACGGCAAAAGAAATTAATTTATAAATTTATCCCGAAGCTTTTTAAAATAATTAACAATCTTCCATATAAAAAAATTAATTAATCATATGTAAGAATTAATATTATAGTTGTTTTAAAAAATTTACAAAATTACTGATCACTGTTTAATGCAATCACAAATTTTTCCATATAAAAGAGTGTGACATGATTAATTATATAGTTTTATAAAAATATCCACATATAAACTGTATTCATCTTATTTACACACAATTTTTTTTAAATGCTATTGACATAATTTAATTTTTTTTTACCTTCTATTAAATTGCGATTACCATTACCAAGGTAAATTTATATTTTCTCTGTATTATTTTAAGTTTTAATAACTAAAGGTATTAAAGTAAATTAATTTAATATATTTTTTTTTAAATCATAATTGTGCATCCATAAATTTTTTAAACTAAATTTATTAATTTCAAAAAACAATATTAGAAATAATTTATAATTGCTAGGCAGGCATTCTATATATATATTTACTATTTTAATCACCCACTATAAACGTTTTCATAAAACACCTTATTAAGGCTCGAATTTTATTCTGAATGGCAAAAGACATATACAAGGTAGAAAATTTATCATTTTTTAAAAAAAATTATCGATATTGTATAATACATTATTGTACGGAGATAGATTTTATTATTGTTTCGGATAGTGTTGTTAAACGGCTCGATTTCAAAAAAGGTTAGTCCAATATTTTTGCCAAAAAATATTGGGCATCCTGGAAATTTCGTTTATAGATGGCAGAAAGGTTTTGCCATTGTAGCTTGCCTAATATTATTGTGGCTAAAATCTTAATTTGAAAATTGGCAAAATTGAGCCGTTTTGTGTGAAAAATCTTGTCTTTGGTTGGTTCCTTTAAATTTTATTGGAGGCCTTTAAGCCTTTTTTGCAGGCATTTGACTGAATTATACATTTTTTTATAAATAATTTTGGTAATGCCTTTTTTTTAAATTTAAATTTTAGTCTTTATTGTAAAAAATTATTAATTGAAGGATAATTAAAAAAAATAATGACTATTCATTTTTGAGAAGAGAGAGGCTGGGGAAGTCCTAGAGATTATACTATAACCATTATGTCTAATATTTTGAAAAAAAAGATCAATCTTTTTTATTATATAAAATAAAAAGTAGCTATCGTATAACGCGTTAACTAAAAATTTTAGGTAAAATAATTTTCAATATTAATTAAAGATGAATGTATGCATTAGCCATAATATCTTATGCCAAAATTTTTAAATTATACCATCGATTATATATAAATCGTGTTTTAAAGCAATTTTTTGAATTGGCCTTAATGTGTTTTAAAAATAATAAAAAATTTGAGTAAAAATTTTTTTTTAATTTTTTTTGAAACTTTAAATGCCAACTCAAGCCAAATAGTTAATTTTGAAGTTTTTTTTATAATGTTAATAGTGTCCAAAAATAATAGATGAATTTTTTCATATTTTTTTGTCTTTCTCATCCTTTATAATAATAATTAAACGCCATCTATTCTATTATAGTATTTAAATATGAGAAGCAGAAATTTGCTTAATGATTTGATTTAATTTTTTTTTATTCTAAATATTATATAAATTATTATAAAAGTAAGCATATTTTATGTTTTAAATTTTATTTATAAATTTTTGCATATTTAACCTTTTTATATTTAGCACTGATACCACTAAAAAAATAATGCGATAATAATCTTAAATATTTATGTGTTAACTTCAAAAAACATTATTAAAAATAAAATCAAGATTTTGTTGCATAGCGCAATATGGAAACGTTCACTGCAAAATGTTTCGATAACCAAGACATACTATTAGGAAATGATAACTGTGATGATATTGAGGAAAATGATATTGATAAAAATTTAAGCTACATCAATTCAAACGAATTCTATAAAAGCTCTACTAATAAATGCAAAGAATGTACAAACATTTCTAGAAGATATAAAACATACTCTCAACTTCCTGCTATTTATTTGAATCAAGGTTGCAAAAGAAAAAGTATATACCAGGCTTGCAAAAATTATAAAAATATTTTTCCAAAGTTAATAAAGCTTAAAAGCTTGTTTCAGTGTTTTAAATCGAATCAGAAAATAAACTATAAAATGATAGAGAATGATTCAAAACTGCTCTCCGCATCAAAAGCTATCACAATAAATAATAACCGGCCACTTATGGTACTAAACTGCAAAAATTGCAATAATATTTTTACAAAAAATGACATATATAAAAATAGTAATAGCAATCAAATTTTTAAGAATGATTTAAAATCAACAATAATTGATAGATGCATATGTAGCAAAATAAATTTGGAGATCGATATATCTCCTGCTAATATTAATAAATCATCTAATCATTTATTAGTCAATAACAATAATTTCTATAACATGATCTTACTCGATCCTCGGCGAAATATAAATGACACTGAGAAAATTTTCCCTCACGTTAAAAACTTTATACCATTTAATATAGCTCTGATGATTAATAATAAGATTAGAGTTAAACATTCTCAAGAGCCACCACTATTGGATATACTCTTTGATTCCGCATCACATCAAATTTTATTGGAATCGTTTAATGATTTCGAAAGAATGAAAAAACCTTATGGAATTTGGAGTTCTACCAATAAATCTTCCAATTTTAACACCTATCGGTCAACAAAGAGTGGTTCATATTCAAATAAGGCTGGCTCGATAGCCAAGAGGAAACCGATAGCGTTAACTACCGATGCTATCAGAGCAGAATTGGGATTTACGTCAGGTCTTCACGCGTGGCAATTAACTTGGAAAAATTCTCATCGAGGTACCCACGCAGTTGTAGGCGTGGCTAAAGAATCCGGAGGAGGAGCAAAAATGGGATATACGACTACCGGCTACAACCCGTTAGTAGGAAATGATATAGATTCATGGGGAATCGATTTGAATACTCTTCTGATATGTCATGATAAAGAGCACTCTGCCACAGTTAAAAGTTTTTCTTGCGATAAATATTATTTAACAAAATCAAGCGAATTAGACAAAACGAGTGGCCAATATTGTTTGAAAAAAAATAACCTCTCTCGAAAGACCTCTGAATTTTTTTCTCAAATTCCTCATATACCTAAAATGATGTATAAGTTACCTAATTTAAACTCCGAAAACTTTTATAGTTATAAACAACCCGAATGCCTCTTAAAAAGAACAAATGTTGGGGCTCTATCGAATAAAATTAACATTCCAGAAACTTTTATCGTTGTATTTGATATGATAAGGGGAACTTTAGGGTTATACTTTGATAATTATTATTGGGGACATGCCTTTTCTTCTACTCAACTTATGTCAAATTCAACTCTTTCCACTGCGACTAATGCATTGTATCCCATAGTTAGTGCAGTTTGGGGCCACGGTGAAATTGAAATGGAATATATAAATGGGATTGAAAGTATAGTCAAAATTTATTGTATTAATTATTTTTTTAACTTTTAGATCAAACACTCTCCTTGAAATTGTTATGCCGATATACCATACGTAAAAAAACGGACTTTTTGTTCAAATACCATTGCGACCCATTTATCTTCCATCAGAATATTCCTATAAATATTTTAAATTATCTTACAATTCCATTAAATCAATATATGTAAAATTTTTATATAAATTTCTTTATTCAATTTTTTAAACAAATTTTTTTAATTTATAATTGATTTTTAAAAAATATATTATTTAATATGAATTATATCCTTTTTAGAAAGCAAATATATTTTAATAAATAAATAAATCTTGTTAATTTTAAAATTGATTATTTATTATTATATTTACATATAACTAATGTTGTAACGAACGCGTTCAGAAGTTCATTTTTTTTGAAAAAAAATGATGAACGGACGTTCCTTTTATTTTTGACTCTTGACGAACGCATTCTTTTTTTAAATCCTTAGAAAATCTTTCTATTTTTATTTATTTAAAAATAAAAAATATGAATTTAAAAATATTTTTTTATTGACTTAAAACTTTTAAATTTAAACACTAATATATTGTTAAAAAATAATATATATTTATTTATATTAATTTTTAAATTATTCGTAAAGTTTTGCTTTTGAACTGAATGAGTTATTTTTTTGAAGGAACGTTAAACGTTAGATTTTTTTTGAAAATATTTACAGCATTATGCATAACATATCGAATAATTGATTTAATTCAGCACTGTAAATGTTACTTTAAAATATAACGTCCGTAAAACTTAATGTCGTTACCTTACTTGTTTGTTACTTTTCAAAATAAGAAACGTGTTCTACTTTTTAAAAATAGGTAACCTTGTTATTTACTTACTTTCAAAATAAATAATTTTTTCAGGAAAAAGCTAATAAACCCAATATTATAATTGAAAAATATTTTTATAATAAAATGCATTCAAATTTATAATTATTATGTTAAAATACACCATTTTGGACTCATTGAATCACGGGGAAATTTTTAATATTATTTTTTTTTAAATATTTTATTTATTTATGTTTTTTTTTAAATTTAAAAAAAAAATTTTTTATAAAAAATAATCGTTACCTTACTTGTTTGTTACTTTTCAAAATAAGAAACGTGTTCTACTTTTTAAAAATAGGTAACCTTGTTATTTACTTACTTTCAAAATAAAATGCTTATTTTTTCAGGAAAAAGCTAATAAACCCAATATTATAATTGAAAAATATTGTTATAATAAAATGCATTCAAATTTATAATTATTATGTTAAAATACACCATTTTGGACTCATTGAATCACGGGGAAATTTTTAATATTATTTTTTTTTAAATATTTTATTTATTTATGTTTTTTTTTAAATTTAAAAAAAAAATTTTTTATAAAAAATAATCGTTACCTTACTTGTTTGTTACTTTTCAAAATAAGAAACGTGTTCTACTTTTTAAAAATAGGTAACCTTGTTATTTACTTACTTTCAAAATAAAATGCTTATTTTTTCAGGAAAAAGCTAATAAACCCAATATTATAATTGAAAAATATTGTTATAATAAAATGCATTCAAATTTATAATTATTATGTTAAAATACACCATTTTGGACTCATTGAATCACGGGGAAATTTTTAATATTATTTTTTTTTAAATATTTTATTTATTTATGTTTTTTTTTAAATTTAAAAAAAAAATTTTTTATAAAAAATAATCGTTACCTTACTTGTTTGTTACTTTTCAAAATAAGAAACGTGTTCTACTTTTTAAAAATAGGTAACCTTGTTATTTACTTACTTTCAAAATAAAATGCTTATTTTTTCAGGAAAAAGCTAATAAACCCAATATTATAATTGAAAAATATTGTTATAATAAAATGCATTCAAATTTATAATTATTATGTTAAAATACACCATTTTGGACTCATTGAATCACGGGGAAATTTTTAATATTATTTTTTTTTAAATATTTTATTTATTTATGTTTTTTTTTAAATTTAAAAAAAAAATTTTTTATAAAAAATAATCGTTACCTTACTTGTTTGTTACTTTTCAAAATAAGAAACGTGTTCTACTTTTTAAAAATAGGTAACCTTGTTATTTACTTACTTTCAAAATAAAATGCTTATTTTTTCAGGAAAAAGCTAATAAACCCAATATTATAATTGAAAAATATTGTTATAATAAAATGCATTCAAATTTATAATTATTATGTTAAAATACACCATTTTGGACTCATTGAATCACGGGGAAATTTTTAATATTATTTTTTTTTAAATATTTTATTTATTTATGTTTTTTTTTAAATTTAAAAAAAAAATTTTTTATAAAAAATAATAAATAAATGATCGTCTGGTGATGGAAATTATTTTTATCACAATTCACTAATTTTACAATAAAAACGAAGTATTTAAAAATTTTAAAAAACTTGTAAAAATTTTCATAATTCTTTAATTTTACAATAAAAACAAGACGTGTGCTATGAAGCTACTAAGTTAAGACTATTAAATCAAATAATAAATCAATTTATTAGAATAAATTTTTTTTGTGAAAAAAGGTTGATATTTAAATAAGAAATAGTTATTTTTAGATTTATAAATTAAAAGTAAGCACTATGGGCATCGTTGGGTTTGAAATCTTAGAAATTGAATGACCTAAAATTAAGTATAATTTAATGTAATTGATACTCATATATATTAGTGATATGCATCGGGCCTAATTTTTCAAGCCCAGCCCGGCCCGGCCCGTAATTTTTTTATAAAGTTGGCCCGAATTTATTTAAATATAGAAATTAATTCTTATAATTACTCAATATAAACGATATATGTTATATATATAGCGTCTACTTTCTATTAATAAAATCCCATATTTTTATTTTACCTAAAAAATTCAACATAAAATTGATAAATTTAGTTATATTTTAAAAAAAATTTAAAGCCCGACCCGGCCCGAATTTTCTTAAAAAATATTAGGCCTTCGGGCCATGTCGGATTCGGGCTGGGTACGGGCCGGGCCTTCTTTTGCAGATCTCTAATATATATAATAATGTTTTCAGTTATTATAATTTTATTAAAATTGTATCGCTCAAATTATTAAAATACCAAATTAGACAAGTTAGCTAAATTGTTAAAATTAAAATACGGCTTCTTCCTACCAAACTAAACAAAAAATTTTTTATAAATTTTAAAAATAAATAAATAAAATAATATTAAAAATTTGCCTGTGATTCAATGAGTTACCTCCATTTTTTATAGATAAATTTTATTAAATCCTGTTGATGCAAATTTACTAGTGATGTTAAGGTAACTAGTTACGTAACTAGTTACATTTTGGCTAAAAAATAACTGTAACTAGTTATATTTTTAAAATTGAAACTAATAACTGTAACTAGTTGTAATTTTTAAAATATAACTGCCAAAAGTAACTAGTTACTTTTAAAGATATATTCAAATAATTAATTTTATTTTTAATATGTTGTGATAAATTAATTTTAAATTAAATTTATTTTTTAAATTAAATTTATTAATTTAAAATTTTGTGAAAATGTCTCATTGTTATAATCCCGTTCAAATTTACCTTAATACCTCAAAGTGAATCCCAGACGAATGAATCATGCTCAAAACCAACATCACTTGATGTAGTTGGATTTTTTGACCTAAAGCGCCAAAATATTCTGGATAATGAACTTATAGAAAACTTTATCAAATCTAATAACAACACTTTTTCTTTATATAACGATTTTCCAAAGTTAAAATTACTCTTTATTAAATATAATGTTGTTCTAACATCAAGTGCTCCCGTAGAACGCTTGTTCAGTCTAGGTAAGCTCATTTTGGGAGATAAACGAGCACGTCTCCTAGATAATAACTTTGAAATATATTTGTTGTTAAAAGCAAATAAACATTTATTAGATTCTAATTTTTATGAAAAATAAATGTTTTTTTTCAATGCAAATATATATTTTTATATTCGATGTAAATATTCAATTTTGCGATATTTTTTTATATAAATAAATTGTATATTATTTTAAATAACTGATTATACTTTGTTTATCCTAATTTTTTTTATATTAAATAAATGCATTCAATAAATAAATAATGCGCATATGAATGATGTATAAAGTAAGTAACTAATTACTTTTGAAAATAACTGTAACTAATAACTAGTTACTTTTGTAAAAATGTAACTAGTAACTGTAACTAGTTATGTTTTTGCCAATGTAACTAGTAACTGTAACTAGTTATGTTTCAAAAGTAACTTTTAACATCACTAAAATTTACTACTTAATATAAATATTATATTTTAAAAAAATACAATCAAGTTAAATATATGAAAATTTTTTATCTTTGAATTATTTGTAATTACAAGAGGAGGGTTTCAAAATAATTTTTTGCTTCAATAAAAAGTTCTTAAAATTGAGAATTTTGGGCTATTTTTAAAAAGAATATTACCTTTCTTTCCGAATGAACGAAATGTTGAAACTATAATTGGTTCATATATACTATTTGTTAATAAATGTGGAATTTATTATATATCTTCATTTCAGCTATTCCTAGTGGATCATGATTATTGCTGAGGAAATAAAAATATCCATACAATAATTATTTTTCAAAATTTTGATGATGAAGGAATATTTAACCACCTAATACACCTTTCTGTGCTTTGGTAAAGTTCGATGATGTCAAATGGAAAGGTAGTGTTATATTTAATGAAATAGTATATTTAATTTTGAATAAAATTAAAATTTTATTAAATTTAAAAAAATATATTTAATAAAATTATTAGACTTATTAACAATATTTTTAAAAAGAATCGATACCGACAAATTCTAAAAGAATCAGTTGATACTGGTACATAATATTATCAATACATTTTCAGTACATTCTTGTTTCTTTTAGCAGTGGAAATATTTTATTAATCATTAACAAATACATTTATATACAAAATAACATTAATAATAAATATTATTATTAACAATAGAACATTTTAAAAGTTTTATCAAAGAGGCACATCCTATTAGTTAAAACATTTTTAGCAACACTGAATAAGCATTTACCCGATGAGCTGGAAGAAATGGTTTTTTTGCGATAAAATTTTATTTTATTTAGAGGATAAAATTAATTATATCATTTGATAGCCTTCATACCTAGGTTACAAAATAAAAAAAATCGAGCATCCTACTTTTAATACTATTAGCATCATTAAGGTGTAAGAAAAAGACGTGCTTTTTACTATTTACCGATGACCATGAGTAAGATGACAAGACCCTTGGGGTAAGATGGCAAAAATTTTAATACAAAACA